TTTCCAGTAGCATCGTCAGAGTGAGACGATCACAAGCGGCTGTCATCCTTGCCGCGTGAAATTCCCCTCGGAGTCCCTGGAAACTGCCAGAACGCACAGATGGTAAATGTAGCTGACTTATGCCAGGAACTGTTGGAAAACTGGGACCGAGGCCAAGACTAGGGGGGAAAAGAAAACTCGTCTGACAAAGAAAGTGGTGTCAGAAGTTTACTACAGTCTCCTGCTGGCCTGGGAGGGGCTGACGGGCTCCTGAATGAGCTGGGACAGTGCAGCTCCACGCAGGACGCCCTGAGGAGCCGCTGTGGGGGCGGTTCTGTGACTTTCAAGGGCAGGAATGAGATAAAGGACTCATTGTGAGGCCCGCGACGTCCTGCAGCGATGGTCAGATCCGCCTCGCTCCTTAAAGGCCACGCTCTGAAGCAGCCCCTTGTCCCAGGGACTCAGTCGCAGCGTCCGGATCTGGGTCCCGCTGAGGGTCCTGGGAGCGAGCTCAGTTTCGTTTACTGCGCAGGCTCAGACTGATCCCCCGTGTGAGTTACACTCAGCCCGTGCTCCACACATATCAACTCATCTGAGGTTCCCGGCCCCGGTGAGGACACGGGGAGCGCTCTGGTCCCAGCCTACCTTTGCAGAAACGGGAGTCGGGGAGCTCAGATCACCTGTCCAAGGTCGTGCACCTCAGAACTGGCAGCGTCAACAGGCACACTCACGCCCTCTGACTGCTCCCCAGGGTGCACCCACACCTTCCTGTGCATCCCGAAGACAGGATGAGACCTGGTCCAGGTACAAGGGCGTGCCTCTGATTTCTCTGATGAGTCGCAAACACGACCGAAAGGGACCACTGGTGAGCTCACCAAGTTTCGGGCTCTGAACAGAGAAAGGGTCAAGATCATTCAAAAAATGTTCCCGTCATGGGGAAGGCCTGGGTGTGGGTGGATGGGGGTGGAGGGGATCAATGGGGGAAAAAGGAGGACATCTTCATTGTTTATTTCAACAGGATAAATTAGAAAAATTTTCCCCCCAAATCCATCTTTTATCCGAGGACTCTAATACAAACCCAAATCTGCCTAAATTAGTAACAGAGGCTGCAGGGTTTGTGACTCTAGAGACCGTGGCTGGTGAAAGGCGAGGCCGGCTCGCAGGCAGGGCGCTGGGAGTGCGGGCGAGGCGGCACCCACGCGGGAAGGGCTGGGGGACACCCGAGGAGGCCAGTTCTGAGGCTCCTGGGAAACTGCTCCGAGGACGGATGCCAACCGAGGTGTCTGTAAAAATGTAAACCCCTGATCTTCCTTTACCATTCCATCTTTTACACCCAGAACAAACAGGCTGTAGAAAGTAAGAACAAAATCGGAGCCACCGAAGCGCGTGGCGCGTACCCTCCCTGACCGTCCCCTCGCGGGCACGGGTTTGTGGGGCCTCCGCTTACGGGAAAACCTCCTTACGGAAGGAGGACCGCTGTCCGGCCTTGAATGATGGAAACAGGGTTTTATAATGGAAACTATGTTGCAATTCTTTAATAGTTTTAATATTTAATATAATGACCTGAAATGCACCAGAAGAAAATTTGGTTGAAGTGACAATAATAAAATAATGTGCTAAAAACGGGAAATACCGACAGGACCTCAGAGGGGGCAGGATGATGACACGGGTCCGGGAAGCACAGTGAGAGCTGGGGGAGGCTGAGCGCCTCCAGGGAATTGAAGAAATAAAGAAACAAAGGCGAGTGGTGCCCGGTCAAGCCGCTCTGACCAGACTGGAAACTGGGCCCGTGCCGGTTACCACTGGTGTCAGCACGAGACAGGTTCCCAAGCTCTGCCAGGAAACTCTTTCTGACAACTGGTTACTTTAAAACTTTTATTTTTACGGCAAAGAGAAATAATCCCCAAGGTACAGCGTAAGCCGGGTGGGACCGCGGCCCAGCCCGCTGCTCCTGAAGCTCCGCCAGGGCTCCGAGGGAGCAGGACGCCGGGCAGCGCCCCTCCCCCCACGAGTGAGCAACAGCGGCTCCGTCTCACTGGGCTGGCCCAACGCTTCCACGCAGAACCGTAAGAACTTTCTGGAAAACGTTGACTTCCCTCTGGGTGACTTTACAAAAAAGTTCCCCAAGGAGTCTGTTGATGAAAAGAGGAGACGGTGCCCCGTGTCGGTGCCAAGGAAACGGAATTTTAACTCAGAACTGCTCTGTCCCTGGCCCATGCCTG